GGGGGGGGGGGGGGGGGGGGGGGGGGGGGGGGGGGGGGGGGGGGTGGGGGGCATTTACTCCACAACAGAAACTCCTGAGTCTGACAATCCCGTAAATGTGAAGAACACGTGATCCAAATGGCTTGTCGGTAGAGCGCTCACCATCCGGGAGGTTGCACCGCAAAAAACATTCGTCGTGAGAGTCAGGCAGGATGATGACCAAACGCATGCAGATCACGGAATAACGCCACTACAGCGGCCTTCCATTCTGGTGTCACTGCTACACAGCCTCCGTCCAACATACAAACCCAAAATACAAGAACGGCAGGCGTTCGTCAATCATTGTCGATATCTGCTTTTGGCGGGGCATGGGTTATGAAACCGTACGTACGTAGTTACACGCACAATAACAATATTATACTTCTCTTTTGTTGGTTTTAGTTTTCGGGAAAGAACAAGACTGCTCGTGCACGACGCAGCACTCACCGTGGGGTAGGACCCGGACTTCTCGGTCAGGTTGACGAACAGGGTCTTGATGAGGTGGTTCACGAGAGTCGTGAACCTCGGGCACACGTTCGAGGCGCTCGTTGCTCCCCGCTCCCGCACGGGGCTGTTCTTGGAACCCCGGCTGCTACGGTCCCCGGGCTATAGATTAAATGGAGACACACATGGACACACGTGCATAGGTCAGCTGCTTAGCCGCGAACGATGGTAACAGCAAAGACACATGCACGCACACGAAAGCAGGCGAAAATGCCAGAATACAGCAAATATTTTGGCGGTGCAAACGTGAAGCTTGAAACAAATCGACCCAATCCGAATCTGCATTGGCTGCACGTCGCACGCGATTCATACAAACACCGCTGTTTCCACGGTAACCGCAGGTCAGCAACGGTTCCGAACACATCACGTGATGACCGATCCCTTCTCCGAGAGCTTTGGAATGGAAATAGACGCACGAGAGAGGGTAATGAAACCTCCTATGACCCCCAGTGCGAGTTGGCAAGACAAAGCAGTCAAACGCGTTGCTAGTTATCCCCAGCCAACCCAATTACATAATCTGTGACTTCTCCAAGTGGCAATCCGTACGCCTACAGCAGCCAAGCACTTTGCTAGACACCACGGTGGAGCCCAAAAAAATATTGGGCATTATTGATCAATCCAAACAATTGTAGAATGATCAAGACCCCTCACCGCCGATTCCAGGTCCCACGGCATCTGTGCCCCCTGGACCAGCTCCTCGTAGCCCCTCCGGAAGCGCATGATGCGCTTGATTCCCCTCAGGACGTTGGAGGACAGGGGATGCACCGCACCGTTGTCTGGCACGTGCCGTCTCAGCTTGGGGTCGGTGCTGACCGCTTCCGCCAGGTCCGCGAACGTTTGAAGACACGCCTGGGGAATGAATGGATGACGCACACGCACCAAACGAAAGGCAGGCGTTCGCTAACGCGCACATAAATACAAAGCGTCAAGAATCGAAGGCGCGCCTGGGGCACTAATGGAGCACACCCACAAATTTAAGGAGGGGTGTCGGTCACTCGCACAAAGAAATAAAATTGCTTCCAATAAGGCTCACGGATGAATTGCGAACCGCATCAACGAAACAAACGACGATCGGTTCGAACCAAGGGGAGAACGGTTCGGGGGGATGAAGGGCGACGCCATCTACTTTGCGGGGGGACTGACGAAAATAAAACACGGCTGCTAATGTTGGGCAGAGAATCTATAGAGAGCACAAACTCAATATGAACGTGCACAATATTGCCGAAATTTGCCGAAAAGAACATGTGACACGGGACTTTGGGTGTTACACAGTGTACGTTGTCGTTGCCGTCGGCATCTGTGAGACAGTATATCTGGAGATAGCGACACAACCAAACCGGGTGCGAAGCACGAGCAATGCCGAGCGCCACGTGTAACATTTCTACGGTGCTCAGAAAACAAACAGCTGTGCTAGCTGTCAACATCGACACGACCCCGACGCCAACTATAAGCATCCGCCCAGCGTACCCTGCTCAGTCTCCGCTGCACAGCCGCTAAGGCATCGGTAGCCTTGTTGGTCCTCCCTCTTCGTGCCGCAGAGTCAGGTGATGCGTAGACTGGAGAGAGGAATCGCAACATCGTGGGCGAAAACAATAAAAAACGTGGCGGAAAGAGGCCCAATAGTGACAACAAAGAGGCCTTGGGCTGAGGCAACGGCGTGAGATTGAAACAGCAGCCAAGAGCAAACTTTCAAAGACGACGCTCGGGATGGGAAGCAGTGAACAACGACAACAAGAGCATCGTGAAGTTATAGCATCATGCAACAATATCATCGCAAACACTCACCTACGCTCCCTCTCCTACTCTGATACCCTCCGTCATCGCCCTTGGAGCCTGAATCGTCACCACCGACCTTCAGAATGTCCTGTTGCCACCAACAGACGAAATGGTCAAAAACAAGAAAGCAGCATACATACTTGTATCATTTAGCAGCAATCAAAAGTTTGAAAAAAAAAAGCTAAAACATGTCTTACAAAAAATATTTTTCAACACGAAACAAGTGGAAAAGAGCCGTCACTCTTGTCGAACACCTTGTCCAAACGCGCGACCAGACGAGCAACTGACCACCGGCGAAACCTCGGCCCCAGCGTCTGTACGGACAGGACGACAGCTGGAAGATCAACGTCGAGAGTGTGAGATGGAGGTGACCGTGTGGACCGGGGGACACGACTGCAACAAGAGGGAAGAGGGAACTGGTCCCGGCACGAGTGCGATCACTTCTATGTTCCTCTTGTAGGGTGTGCTTTCACATCGAGCGAGGGAAGCGCGCAAAAAAAAGAAACTCTACAAACAGCCCTTGACAGAGTGAGATCCATCCGAAAGGACGAAGACGTTGGATCACAAAATTTACCTTGAACCTAGGTTGAACAAGCTAAATGAGAAGATGACCACAGTATCGTAAGGCCAAAAACAGCACCAACCGACGACACATAAACATTCACACGCCAGGACAACACGAGAAAAGGCTGGAGCTAGGAGAAAAGTACTCCAGGCCCAGATACACCCAACACACAAAAAAAAAAAACATGTGCACACAAGAAACGGCAACTAGGCGAGTGTGTCGAATTGGAAACAGCTCAGCTAACTAAGTTGCCGTGGGCGCCGTAGGCGCCGTACGCGCCACAAATAATCATCAACTAATTTCGTGGTTCGGGGCCGATTTCGTGCTCCACCGCCGCCGATGTAGCCGGCGGAGCCGATTTCGTGGGAAATGGTAGAGCGAGACGACTCGTATAGTTGTCCGGGAGATCGCTCATATCTAACCCCAGATACCGCATTCGTCGCGTCGAACTGACCTGCAGCGAGTAGGACCCCTTGTGGAGCGCGTCGGACATCTCCATCAGAGCCACCACAATGTCTGCGGGGATGTCGCCGTCCTTCACCGCCGCTTGGGTCTGATGGATCGCAACCGTGGACAATACACACACCAAATCAAACAAACACCGCAGTCCATCATCGTTGCTTGGGTCTGACGGATCGCAACAGCGGACAACACACACACGAGCCTAAACAAACATCGCAGTCGATCGTCGTTACTTGGGTCTGATGGATCGCCACAGAAGGGGTTCCGCACACACAAGACTTAACACGCGACCCAAAAGGACAGCGGGTTCCGGAATTAATCAAGGGTACAAGGCTAGCCGTGCCGCAAGCAAACGATAGTCGCCAAGAGCAGCGCATCAGCAAAACCCCCAAAAAACGGGCAAGGCCTACGCTGCTGTAGCGCTGCTATTACGGAAAGCAAACCCGCCCCTCGCCGCCCGGGTCCACACAAAACACCGAATCATCAAGCCACAGACAAACGGACCCCGCCACATGTGGCACTACGCCCTCCCCCAACCCACAGTCAATTTAGGAAGATAAGCAAAGGACGATCAGCATCGGTGATCGGTCTTGTGGCAACAATACTCCGTCCTCCCGAGGACGCGTGGCCATTGGTCTAACAACGAAGGCATGCAGGGTATGGTTACCCCCACCCTCCCCGACGAAACTCTTACCGAAGACACCGGCCGTGTCCTCGCGCGGATTTGCGACGATGCACCGCCGCCACTGCCGCCCCCGCCGGTTGCGGCACCGGCGGCCCCTTCCTTCTTGCCGCTCCTGTCTCGTACCTCCGCCAGGCTGCTTTGCAGCTTGCGGTCGACCTCCCTCACCTGAGAAAGGGTTTGTTGTTGCAAGTGGCATGCGTTGGGTGTCTGCCGCTTCCACGAACGCATAGCTTTGGCGAACGGCGAACAGGTTTTATCGCGCCAATCGCGCCCTGTAGCTGCTTAAACGTCATCGATGGTACCATGCCGTATCATGATGAAGGTGTGAGAAACTGATACTGTCGTGAGAGAAGCTTGAACGGAAACAGCTACCTGCCACAAGGCAGCGCGAACATATGGCCGTGCGAAAGGACAAGTACACCAGGTCCAACCGTGCCCTACTACGCGAATACCGTATCCATCCTTCGACGATGCGCAAGAGAAGCCGTCTGCACATGCGCTGAACAACACACCGCACAACGGGGCGCGCGTACACACGAAAGAGAGAATACAACAACGGTGGGAACAGGACGTACGTAAGAGAGAATACAACAACGGTGGGAACAGGACGTATGTAACAGGGCTGGCTCACTGTCCATAGCCAAGTCCAACATAACATGAGGTTACGCATCAATCGTAACACACGCGTTCTTCTCGCGAGTATGCTGAGGTTCTACGATGTGCAAGGCGAGCGTAGATTATCCTTCTTACCGGCTCTCCATATTATCCCGTCCCTCTAATCCATATCTTTACCTCACTACCGCACACAAACAGCATCAAAATATAGATGGTCCAGGTCACGGAACATTTGGGGAACCATGTGCGGAGGGCAAAATTCAATTCATTTTGTTCCCTGCGATTGCTCCGTTCGCACGACTTTTTCCGACCACGATACGAGTGCTGTCGTCACATGTGTCCCATGCTTTCCGGCCTTTTCCCTCTCCAAGCATGCCAGATTCTCGCCCACCGTTGTCACAAAACCGAACGCATGTCCTCTTTCCCGCCATGATTTCATGATTTCTAACCGCTTCTCAAAAACGCCGAAGCACGAGCTCCTAAGTACTCCGGTGCTACATTCCTCCCTCTTGTTCTGCCCTCCGCCACACACACCAGCTTCTCGATCACGGGGTTGACGACCATGACGAACGCTGCCTCCGACTCCTCCAAGCTCCGACTCCCTGCCCCCCTGCCGTCCTTGTCCGCGTCGCCCCCCCCCTTGGAAGACGACGAGTCGCTCGCCTTCAGGGCCCGTTCCCACAGCAGCCTCTCCGCCGTCACGAGCTTCGTCGAAAAGTCCACAAAAAACCTGCAGTTTTACGGTCGAGCGCATCGTTGAAGAGGGCTTCTTAGAGAATGTGCATACAATCACAGGAAGACTTCTATCCCGTTCAAGATATAACAGCAGTCGAACGGGTTTGTGTCGTTTCTTTTCAAGTCATTGAACGATAAAACAGGCGCGCAGTTGGCTGGTGGAACGTCGTTTGTTGGTTGGCATTGGCTTCCGTGTTCCAGTCGCTGAGCAGGCAATGGGATGGTTGATCCGTCTCCGATGGTTCGACCGCAATGCCCTCGCCTATGCAACAGGCAGTCAGTTGCCTCGCTCTACCCTACCATCCGCCCCACACATGTACATGGTAGCCAACTACGGTACACACGTATTCGCGCCTTTCGCTGTGTCAGAATAACCATACTACTTTACGGGCTGTGGCTCTCAGCACATCTACAGTCTACAATATCCGAGAGGGGTGACGAACGAAAGAATGGTACCGTATTTCCTTGTCTCCGGAACGTGTTGTCAGTGTTTTAACACTACCGTGTCACGAATCTTCCGCCTACCTTAGCCAGGGTCCCCCTCCTCGTGCCTGCTGCCCTTTGGGAGTGATCTCGAACTTTGACTCCCACTTATCCAAAGCTGTCTTTACCGCCACTCTGCGCAGAAGAAAAAGCGGGTGCAGATAAACCCAGACGGGATCAAGGGGATTAGGAAAGACGATGATTCTCCCGGACATGGAAGTATTCCGTGAAAAAAATAAAACGGGATAGACGCACGTTCGACACCCGGCACAACGACCGGCGGAATGATCGCAGCAATAAGAGAGCACGTCACCCTTAGAGAGAGAGAGAGAGAGAGAGAGAGAGAGAGAGAGAGAGAGAGAGAGAGAGAGAAAACCGAGAAATGCGCTTGCGCTATGTACCGGAAAGCACACGAATGGGAGGGAGAATGGATGGAGAGGGTGAGAGAAGACACGACGAAAAACAGAAAGGAACAAAGGAAAAAACGGGACAAACGAATAAACAAACGAAGGAAAACCTAAGAAAACGCAAACGAAGGAGAGAAAGCAAGAGAGCTCTCGAGTGCACTCGCCTTCTCGCGGCGGTGTAGTTCTGCCGAAGCTGTCCGCTGTGCCTGAGGAGCGTGAGGCACTCCCCAATGGCCGCGAGGCTCTGGGCCACGTTGTCACTCAACGTGTTCACTGACTCGAACGTGTTGGTTTGCGTCTGTGCCCGTGCGTTTCGATCCAATTTTGTCGCGAAGATGTTACCGCCAGGGTAAGGTATTTCGTGCAATCGAGGAGCGGCGAGGACAGCAGCAGTTGGAACGTCAGTGAAACCAACGGCGTACAATCGTCAGGCAAAAAAAATTCGGTATTTTTCGCACCTGATGGCGCCAAAGAACGTTTGAAGTTCCGCCAAAAGCGTTGCGCACACTCCAAACGACGACGAAGAACACAGAGGAGCCTCACGAAGTGTTGGTTGATTTGCCCCCCTTCGATTATGGTAATTACGCAGACACGAACCCCAGACATTCACGCAAGCTGAAGGTCATAAGTTTCACCGCGGGAAACGACTGACGTCGGTTGGCAACACCACTGGAGGCGCACGATACGCGACAACAGAGTCAGGGACAGGCGTACAGTTAGAGAAAAGAAGACGAAAACCGAACATGGGCGGCGGCCGCAACACGGGCAAGTCAATGGCAATAACCGACGGGACCCCAAAAACAACGCAGACGGGGAAGAAGGATGACTATGGTCGTCCGCACCGGGCCCCCTGTCGCCGATACCCCTTAACATATCGTGAGTCTGCATAGCCGTCCATACTTACAGTGTTTTCCCAAGCTGGAAACGTACTCGGACGTGTAGCCCTCAAAGTGAAACTGCTGTGCATTGCGATCACGGCAAGATCCTGCGAAGGCCATCACGCTGCCTACTGTTGTGGGTCTATGTGCTTTAATAGTGCTAACTGGGTGGGCGGTATACTTTTAGCTGGGGGCCGTGACACCTAGCACGCCAACAATGTGTGCCCCAGTCGACCGGTCACAAGACGCTTCGAATCCTTCCCCCGGTTGAGGTCGGCACCAATATCATGCTTCACTTGCTGCTGTGGTATGCGGTCGTCATGGATAATACAACCCGCGTGCCATAGGGTGCAATTGCTATGGTCAGCTACGACGGCGGCATGCTCGCAAAAGACGATCGCGCTGGACCCTGCTGCCTAAGAATGCTGTCGTCGTCGGTTCCGGCTGACCGATGCTCGGTATACCAGCATGCGTTTGGACACAGGCGAATCCGATATCAAACATTCTCGACACCATACGCAAAGGGTCGTTGAGCCCTCCCTCCTACAGTACCTGGAACTGAACCGCGGGCCCGACGGTGCGCATGAGCCTGTTAAACTCGTCGATGCACTCCTTGGCGGCCATGCTGGACAGCTCCTCGAGCCCCTTTATAGCCTCCTTCTGCGACTTGAGGCTGGGCCACTTCCGGAAGTACGCGATGGCGTCGTCGATACGCCGCATCTGCGCCCGGTTGCGACACACCACGACACGATTGCGCCGCATGTTAGACGCGATAATTTCGTGCCTGGACTTGTTTGAGACAAGTTACCCCGTAACCCCGTGGACTGTGCAACATTGTCAGTGTTTGTGCGTGTGTCTTTCAAGTTACCTAACCCCGCGGATTGTGCAACGTTGTCAGTGTTCGTGCGTCTTTGTCTTTCCTTGTAAGCATCGACCACTCCAACCGCCTGACCAACGGGAGCACAGCAGTTTCAGTGCGGGCTAGGAAGAGGAGAACCCTTCTGCAGTTCCTGCGAATGGGGAACCCGTGGATCAAGGGGGAGGCTAGGCCTTCACTCCGGGTTGAACGAAGGAATCTACTCGTCTTCGTTCTGGGCTCTCTCCGCATACTGCTGCTGGTCCTGCCGTCCTCCTTGTGCTCACTGCTCTCATCGCTACTAGTGTATTTTTCGTGTTTCCTCCTCTCAAACCATGTACCTACCTCCTCGAGATACTCGACAGCACCGACGTTGCCGCGCATGCCCTTCTGCACGACGCCCCTCAGCTCCTTCTCCAGCAGGAAGCACTCGTTGATACTCTCCATCTGTGCACAAGTGTCGTGGCGGACAGGCGCATGTTTTCCGGACAAGCTTGGTGTTGCGGGTCACACCCCCATCACACCCCTGAACCTCAACCCCCTCCCGCCCGTTGGGACGAGGAAAACCACCACCGCCTTTGAGGCTACACGAAGACAGTGGTCCCATCGGAGTTCGTATTCCTATAGAGGCGGAGAGGCGGCACCCTCATACATGTACATAGACCGAATTTTCAAGCTTGGTTGCTCTACAACCAAGGGGGTGCGGAAGGAGCCTGATGCGTCTACGAAAAGCCCGATGTTTCCAAAACCACCATTTTCGGTGTTGGCACGGTCTAGGTTGTGGAACAATCGAGCTTTGTGAATCGCTCTACACGGGGGGGGGGGGGG